TGGGCGTTGATTTTACGGTGAGGGGACTTTCTTTTATATAGATGATAGATAGATAGATAGATAGATAGATAGATAGATTGATTGATTAAAAGAATTGACTATGCAATACAGTCTCTTAAGTGTAGCAATAAGAGAACAAAGAAGTTAACTTTTCTATGTAATACATTGAATACCTTGGTATTAGATGACCACTCTCTTGCAGCATAAAAGGGCTGTGGTGGCTCAAGTGGTTAAGACGCTGAGCTGCAGACCAGAAGGTCGGTAGTACAGCAGTTCGAGACCCAAGTGCCACGTGGCGGAGTGAGCGCACATCTCTGGTCCCAGCTCCTGCCAATCTGGCAGTTCGAAAGCAAGAAATTGCAAGTAGATAAATAAGTGCCACTTCGGTGGGAAGGTAACAATGTTCCACGCGCCTCAGCCAGCCACATGACCACGGAAACGTCTTCAGACAGCACTGGCTCTCAGCGCTGGTTCTTCAGCTTGGAAACGGAGATGAGCACTGCATCCCTAGAGTTGGATTCAACTGGCTTTCGAGCAAGGGAAACTTCTACCTTTGCCTCTTGCAGCATAAAATTCAAGCAGTAACATGAAAGCATTCTATACATTGCAGTCCATCGTGATGAAACATAACATATCTAAGCATACTAGCATGGCATTAGAGCGGCTCTCTCTGGCCTGTACCCTTATTATAGCTTTCTACCTTATGGCATCAGGTGGTCTCTCAGGTCTAATCTAAACTCTTCTTCCCAGGAACTTTCCAAAGGGTGTTGGCAACTGCTCCTAATTCCCCCCTCCCATCTGGTTATACAACTGAGCACAGGTTTTCACGATATGCCTGAGTTACCACATTCTTGCTATGGTAGTTGCAGAAACACTGAAATCGTGAACACTTGAGCGCTGGACTAGGCCTTCTAATATTCACCCTAACCCTTGAGGGGAAATTAGGGTGCTTAGTCTCACACAAATCTTGCAAAGTTTCCCACAGGATTCAAGCCCTTCAGCTGGCGACGACAGGGATCCTGAGACCTTAAAGATATCATACATATGTTCTAGAACTATGCTGTGTCTCCCAAAGGATAAACACCCATGTCTGTATTAACACAAAAAGATACCATTCTTTGGCTACCAGTGCTAAATTCCAGCACTTTTAGAAAGGCATTCACTCTTCAAACCTATTTGGTATTTGGAATCTTTCACAAGACTGCTGGCAAATGATGTCAGTGAGCATTTTCACTCCCAAATCCATGTAAATTGTTTCACAGCCCTTATGCCACAATAAATTTCTTAGTCTTTGAATTGTCACAAGACGCTTTGCTGTTTTGTCTCCAAATAGTAGACTAAATTTTGAATAGGGTGAATGACTACTGTCAAGCCAGCATCACGCAGGAAATGCCATTTGAAATGAGGTTCAGAGCCAGTGTGGGTATAGTGGTTAGAACACCAAGAAAGCACTGTGGAGAGCCAGGATTCTTTATCCTGCTTAGCCATGAAACACACTTGTGTGACCTTGGATCAGTCACAGCCTAAGCCTAACCTATCTCACAGGGTAAAATGGGGAAGGCAGAACCGTGTGCGCTGCTGGCAGGGCTCTTTTTGTAGCAGGAACTCCTTTGCATATTAGGCCACACACCCCTAATGTATCCAGTCCACCAAGAGCTTACAGAGCTCTTCTTACAGGAGCTACTGTAAGCTCTTGGAGGATTGGCTACATTAGGGGTGTGTCGCTTAATATGCAAATGAGTACCTGCTACAAAAAGAGCAGATGGGCAGAGTAAAGATGAGAATAGACGAGGAAAGTGATAGGATCGGATGAAAAGCTATACAGTACAATGCAATGGCAAATTCTGAAGCTTCTATGTTACTGCATTTATTTGGAAAGTGCTTAAAGTTTTCTCTCTTGTTCATTTTAGTTTTAATACCACGTATTCTCTATCTTTATTATAGTTATCACATGTGTTTGTTTTCCTTATCCTGTTCATTATTCATTATTACTTTTCACTGGTGACAAACACATTAGTGCAGAACACATTTTGAGTTGAATCTAGAGTAAAATTTCTGCTTGTTCTTGTGCAAGCAAAGATGCAAGAAAAAGACCACAGTAACCCCTTAAGCTAAATCAAGCACTATGTACCATTTGCATTTCCATTATGCAAGGCATTTCACAACCAGCCTTTGGTTTTCAAGAAGTGAACCTAGCAGCTTCTTCATTCTCAGAATGGCTCTCCGAAGTATTAGATGGAAGGAGGTGATTGTTGTCATTCTTGAGGCAATTAAATAAAGCCCTGGAATTTTTCTGCTAATGAGTACCTCTCCAGGGCTCTACTGTACACTGGGCCAGGATAAGGGACATAATGATACTTGGAAGTATCACATGACAGTTCCTCCAGATGCATTGCAAATGGAAATGGCTGAAGGCTGACTTAGTGGGTCATCACAAGATGTTGAACAAGATCTTGTGTATGTATTCCAAGTATCATTGTAAATGTGAACAAATGAGGATGGGACCAAGAAATGTTGTACATGATCTTTCACAATCCCTTCTGCAAGCAGAACTCTGCTAAGTAGATTTCTTCTTCTGTTTGTACTTCAATGAATCCAGCTGTTTGTCTGTAAACCCCCCAACCTGTTGGATAAAATTCCCATAGATTGTATCCCCCTCTCAAGGAATCCTCCCTACTGAATTTCAGATAGATAAGAGAAAAGGTTCCCAATGTATAGGCAGTAAAAAGTCTCAAACAACCCACACAAATTTGGCAGCTCCCAGTCCCAGATAGTGGTCACAAACAATATGTAATGGGAAGGATCCTCATATACAAGCCCACTATATAAATGAAATGGAACCATACAGAACCATACATCTTGATGCACTCTGGTGCCTAAAACATTTTTTCCAGTCTAGCACCAATGCCACAGCTGGGAGAAAAACTGTTTAAGCACTGGAGTGCTGCAAGGTAAGGCCCAGAGGAAGGCCCAGAGGAAGCAGGGTTTAGCTCCTGTTTTTCATTAACTGGTTTTCTTTAAGAATCGATCCCCATCTCCCAGTGCTATATAGGGGCACACAATTCCCCAAGTCTGGGTTATCTTGTAGAAAACTGAACTCAGGTAAGGCATTTCTGGTGAATCAGCTCCCTCAGACTGTTTTCAGGTTTCTCTCCCATGATCTCCAAAGAATAATGCTGGAGCATGCAAAGCAGTTAGGTGAAAGGGGATGGACATCACACCAGGCCCCACATTTGGGGGCTCCAGGAACAGGCAACACCTGGTCAAAAGTGGCATGGGCAAAAGTATCCCAGTAAAGTTCCTTTGTAAGACTGCATTTCTTGCAGTTTAGAGAGTCTATCACTTGTATGAATGATGCTATATTCTACATAGTTCTGTAGAATTAGGATTCCAACAGCTTTATCTGTCTGTGTTAACGGTAATTATTCTTCAGTAATTGTTCTTCATGCTGTTCATAAAATCCTATATTTCTTCAGAAAACAAGGAACATACTCCATGTTATTCTTCAGTTCTTAGCTACATGTGACATGATATGTCCAGTGGCCCCCCAAAAATTCTCCTGCATAAACCCCATTACTTACTTAAATGATACCAGTCACTTAACCTATAGGTTTTGAGTAGTGCCGCATTAGAATCCACATAAACCAGGCTAAGCTATTGTCTTAAAATAATTTTCTGTCTCCTATAATGTATTGGGGGGGGGGGGTTGCAACAGCCAAAGTAACCTCTGAATCAACCCCAGCCAAAAGTCTCCCCAATTGTTCTCCCACTGGTGCATCTACCATCCCATACAAATCTCTCACATTTGAGAAAAAGGGACATTCCAGCAAACAGTGTTCCAGTCTATCAATTTTCCCAGAGCACATAAGCATAGCCTCTCAGAATAGGGCACCTTCTTGTAATGACCATCCGTTACTTGAGATGGCATAGAATTCAACCTAGCAAGCATAAAAGCTGTCCTAATTTGGGGCACAGTCAACTGTTTAATGTACAGTAGGAGACTTCTGAGATAGGACAATCCCAAGTAAGTGCGAGAGCAAACTCTGTGTGCTCTAATATGAGAGTTTAGAAAATCCAAATTATATTAATAATCCAAAATTAACTTTCTAGCACTCTCCAAGCCCATCTATATATCTAATAGCCAAGTTGCCCCTTCTGTGCGGATATCTAAATCCGCACATCGGGGGCACCTGGGGGGCAGGGAGATTTTCCTGCACACGTGGTGCAATGCCCAGGTGTGCAGAAAAATATTAAAAGTTGAAAAAAATATTTAAATTAGGTAAAAAGTAAAAATTAAATGAGCGTTCCCTGCACACGCGCAGAGAACGCTCTGGGAACTGGCGGGCCAGCGGCTGGAAGGCACTTAGGCCTCGCCGCTGGAGCCGGGGTGGGTTGGGGGAAGGAGATCGGCCGGGCCCAAGACAGGAAGGGGGGAGGAGATTGGGAGGCCCGAGTGGCCAGAAGCCACTCAGACCTCGCCGCCAGAGCGCGGGGGGGAAGGTGATCGGTGGGTCCT